TGGTCGCATCCTGCCCTGAGGCCAGGGGAAACCTGGACAGGGCTCTGGGGGAGGATAAACAGCGAGGGGCTGGAAGGGCAGGTCGCTCTTCAGACTAGATGCTTTGCGACGCACACTGCAGTCTGCGCTGCATCACGTGGTACCTGTTGTGCGCCAGGCCTCGCCACAACCTCAGAAAAAGAGACTCTCCGCCTGAACTCCATTCCGGCTCCTAACTTCCGCAAATCAGGAAGGACTGAAGAGTGCATGAGCGTGAGGATATGCTGCCGAAGGAAGAGAACCCCACGAAAAGCCCCGTTTTGCCAACTGAAGGCTGTGACCTAACAGGGAGTGATAAGACCAATTTACCAGGTTAGGACTGACATCTGCTGTTTGCCAAGGTGGAATAAAATTGACACTGTGGTTCTGTCGTAGCAAACTGTTCCCCTCATTTGACACAAGCATTTAGTGTAAAGAAAACTAGTTTAACTTTCTCAGAAACTAGAGAAAAGAATTACTAGCCGGACTTAATTGGTTGGAGTTGGAACATAACCATCTCAATTTCTCAAGCCAGCAGCATGACCTTTCTCTGGTTATACCGATGTAAGAACGCAGATCAACAGAATAAACCAACGCATACCCAGTGGGGAGATGTAAGCAAGGTCTGACAACTCAAAAGAATGTTTCGTTTTTGTTTGTTTGTTTGGTTGGTTGGTTGGTTGGTTGGTTGACTGGTTGGATTTTTGAGACAGGGTCTTGCTATGTAGTTCAGGCTGGCCTTGAACTCACTAAGTAGCCTGGTGATTCTCCTGCCTCAGCCTCCCAAGTGCTGGGATTACAGGCATGCTCAATCCAAAAGAATGTCGAAAGAGAAGGTGGGCACAGTGGTGCATCTGTAATCTCAGCAGTTGGAGTTTAAGACAGGAGGATCACCAGAAGTTCAAGGCCAGCCTGGGCTACATACTGAGTTCACAGCCAGCCACAACTACATATCGAGGCCCTGTCTCAATGGAGGGGGGAAAAATGGTTTTAATTTTTAAAACAAAAATAAAGAAGACTGCTGAAGGAAAAAAAAAACCCACCCACTTCAGCTTCATCAGCAGCAACAGAACACTAAGGAGATAAGGTGCCTCAAAATTTACTTATAAATCAAACACAAGTACAAATACCATACCCAGAACAACACTCCAGCACTCACATTTAAGGCCAATGAATTGGGTTTAGGAAGCTAACAAAAAAAAACCAGTATTATTTAAACTACCTTTTTACAGAAGGAATAGATTGTACTGATTAAGTCAGCAATAAAATTACTCCAAGGTAGAAATCAAACTTCTTTTTTCCAGGAAGTCAAAGTAATCTGTGTACTTTCTATTGGTGAAAAAAAAAGTATGTAAATAAGAACCTGTACCAGACAAAATGATCTCAGCAACCAAACCAAGCCAAAGCCAGAACCACCCACCAACATAAATCCACGGATTACCTGCTGTGTGCTTTGTAAAAGAATCCTCCACCAACTAAAGCTAAAGCCATACACACCTGGGCTCAGGTAAAACTTCTGGTTTATTGGAAAATGTGATCCAGAGACGCCAGATACCCAGCGTCTACTTTGGCGGAGGCGTTTCTAGTTACAAAGTGGAAGAGAACCTTAGGGAACAGAAACAAGGGAAACGCACCAGCAGCAGAACAGATTTATTCTCATTTCCTCTCTCAAGTTTACGGCAAGGACGAAAGTCCAGTGACACAGTGTGTGGGGATCTCAATGCCTATGGCTTGCACTGTGGGTTTTCCTTTGAGAAGGATAAATATATACTGAACCCAAACTTAACAATTTGCTTGCAGCACTAGAATTATTTTAACCCGTGAACACATTAGCCTTTACCTTTGAGTCATGCTTTCTTTCAACCATGAACAGAAACTTTACTAAGCTCATCTTAAACACACACCTATCATACTTTAAGGGCACAGTTAGTCATGCAAGCACAGTCAGGAACTTGACCGAGTCCTCAGGCATGACCATTACTCTACTGATAGAGGAGAATGGATCAAAAAACTTTCAGTGACTGGGTATGGTGACCATGTCTGTAATCCTAGCTCTCCGGAGGCTGGGGCAGGAGGATCTCAAGTTCAAAGCCAGCCTGGACTACATAGCAAGACTCCATCTCAACAACAACAAGGCCAACTAGCAAAGGGGAGACAGAACCCAGAAGTGTGACACTCACTATCTCTTCTGTCTTTATAGCTTACTCCCTCCGCTTTGCCCTCTTCCATTAGCTCCCATTCATTACCGCTTCCCACGCAGTGTTCCTCAAAAATAAGAGGGCGTGAAGCCAGGCGTGGTGGTGCATGCTTGTAAACCCAGCACTCCGGAGGCTGAGACGGGAGCATCCTTCAAAGTTCCAGACCAGCCTGGGCTACAAAGTGAGCTCAAGGCCAGCCTGAACTGCGTAGCGAGACCCTGTCTCAAAAAGACAAAAAAAAGGGGGGTGGTGAAGCTGGTAGGGTGGAGTCTCTCCTCATTCCACCAACCTTAATGAGTTCCTGGTCCTAGGAAAAGCCCCATGGCTCAGGCACCCCAGGGAACCCCATAATCTAAGCCAAGAGGCTCGCCCGAGGCAGCTTTAGGCACACAGGTCTGGCGAGCAGCAGTTCGCCACACCCAAGAACCCATGATGCAATCCGTGAGCCGTCTGAGCAGCTGCCCTGGGCACCAGGAAGGAGTCTGGCTCGAGCAGCACCAGCGGGGAACCAGCCGCCACACCCCTGCTTTCCCAGGGGCGAGGGTCTCACCCCACCGTTCAGCCAGCCAGGCACAGTCAAATACCCGAAGGGGGATGCGGCTGGCATGGGAATGGGCTTCGGCAGGAGCTCACTAGCGCTCCGTTGTGCAGCCATCCTAACAGGCTAAGAGGGCAGCCACCAGCTCCTCCAGCCTCACCTGGCGGCTCTGCACAGGCCCCGGGTGGGCACCGCCTCTTCACAAGCTTTCCTCTCACATCCACTAAGATGGGTGGTCGCCAGGGACATACCTTCAACTCGGAGGCTTAGGAGTCTAAGGTAATAATCACCCGCCTTTCTTAAAGCCAGAGAGAGTTGAACTGTGCTTTTGAAAATCACACCTTCTGTCTACAGGGACGAGTAACGATTAAAACCTGCGGTGTCCCTTAAAGAAGAGAGCCTAACATACCCCGGGGTGCTAGCACACGCCTGTAATTCCACACTCTAGGAGGCTGAGGCAGGAAGACTGCAAATTCAAGCCTCGTCTGGACAACTTAGCCACTTAGGAAATCCCTGTCTCAAAATTTAAAATAATTTTTGAAAAGGTTGGGGATGTGGCTCAGTGCAAAGACCCTGAAGAATCTGTAGAAAAAGCTGTAGTTTCATAACTGCTTCTCCTCATGTACCTGTATAATCACTTCAGCCAGCTTCTCAACACCGACAGCCCCCGATGACCCGCTCTAGTGCCTCGGGCTCCGATCCACTCAGTACACACTATCCTCAGCGCTGCCCCAACTATGTACTCCCACAACAGGCGCGTCCTTCCTACCAGCAAAATGTAAGCTACTGGGTAAAACAGACTAGACTTCAAAGAGCCGCAAACCCAGGAGAGGCGGGAAGTATGCACCACATACTCTCAAAGCAGAGCACCTGCCCAGAAACCAAAAGTGACTGAGTCCAAGACCTCAAAATTCTCTAGGGACTTTCAACGTCATTCTCCTTCCTCTGAATTGTTCTTGGTTCCCTGTCTCGCCACATGGAAGTCTTCCGGCCCAGTTTTCAGTTCTCTCTCATGATCTAGCCTTTCCTCGCTTATGAAGCCAGCTATTGTTTTTATTGAGCACTTATGACATTGAGACAGTGTCTATTAAATAAGTTAACTCATGCAAAGTGTCATTAACAGTGTCTAGCCATGGTAGACAGCCACTCACTATTAGCTACTGTTAATAACCATGGGTGGACTGCTGCAGAAGGCATTTCAAATTTAGAGTTCTGTTCATTTCAGGATTTGACACAGACACTGATGTAGAAATTTCTTGGAGTGTCCTGTAAAAGAAATGAGAGCTTCCTCGCAAATTGCCTCGGTTATATAAGTATCCCAAACGCTTAACTTCCATACTGAGAGTCCTACGGAATGTCGCACTCTATGAAGACTATGTTTCACTCAAATGACCATCGATAAGGAAGAGAATGCCAGCCCTACAACATACCCTTGCTCATTCAATAAACTGCACCCGCCACCAGCCGGTGGGGTAAAAAGGTGTCTTATAGAACAGGAAACTAGAAGAGATACATGACTTGTCCCAGGCCACAAGATTAGCAAGTGGCAGAAAGAGACACCAGGTCCTGACCAGTTCATTCATTCACTCCTTCAAGCAGAATTTACTAAACATTCTGTACCTGGCTTGGGGGAAACACCAGCAAAAACCTTCCTGTCTCGGGGCTTAAATTCTACCTGGAGGGTACAGAGAATATTGAAATAGATACACAATATACATAGTATACTAGATGATGGTGCTTTGAAGAAAAAAAGATATGGGTGAGGAAGGACAGGATGAGAGTTAGATGTGACAGCACGAAAGAGCATTGCGGAGATGACTTCGGTCAAAGAGCTGAAAACGGAGGCCAGAAGGAGGGCAGCCTGTGCCCAGCCTGTGTGGAGGAGCAGGCAGGGGAGGGGCGCGGTGTGCTGTGGGCTCCACAAGGAGCCCAGGTGGCTCTGGGGAGGGCTGCGGCCTGGGCGGGCAGCAGGGAGGTCATGGGCGAGCCGCGGGTCATGCAGGTCTTGAGAACACTGTCAAGACACAGTTATTACACTGTCTGGGCGGCCACCGAAGGCTCCAGTGAATTACACACTAGGATGTACGTTTGATGTGTAACAGGATCGCCCAGCCTGCTGCATAAAGATTAGCGTGGGGGTGGGGCAAGGGTGGAAACAGGGAAACCAGTTCAGAAGAAACGACACCCCGGGCCGCATACCGCCTCCCTGCTCTCCGGAGTCCACTCCATTAACTGGTTAACATGGCCTCGATCAGATGCTTCCGCAGAGTGGCGTATGTGCTGCTCCAGTGCCACAGCAGTGAACAGCAGGCCGCCCCAGAAGAACTACCCTACAGCGTGAGTCCCCTCTTTTGTGACCCGCAAAACTGCTCAGATACTGCTGTCAGCACCGAGTGCTACCCATAACCCACCACTTTTTTAAGCCAAATTCACAGTCTTTGGCACCTTAGCTTGTGCGAACGGCACCGTTAACAGAGCCCCAGGTGAATTATGTTTGGCCACTCCGCAACCATTTACTGAGTGCTTAGTCTTGGAGGTAAAAAAGAAAAATAAGACTGAGTCACCGTCCTGAAGGACTTCACGGTCTAGTTGCGGACACAGACAGGCAAACAAGTCCGTGTAACCCAAGTACGACAAACGCAGTTACAGCGGGATGGAGAAGGTGGAGAAGTGAGAGAGGGGCGAGCAGCAGCTCTGCCCTGGGGGCTCAGGAGGAGGCCAGGTGTAAAGTGAGTCTGGAGATTACAGAGCAAGTGCACAGGCGGCGGCGGGCGGGGGCTGGGCACCCTGGCCGGGGAGCCGGGCCAGCAAGGGATGGGGGATGTGGGTTCCCCCGAGTCCTGAAAGAGCAGGGAGTCTTCTGTACGCTCCTTCCACAGGTCAGGGCTCAGCGCATGTGCAGGAGGCAGGGGACGGTGGGTTTCATGGGATGTGAAATGACACGGGCTCCATCCTGCAGGCCAGGGGAAGCCCCAAAGAGTAACCCCTTCGATTTGCATTTTAGAGAGATCACTGTGGTAACAGTGGAGACCCAAAAGTGGGTCAGAGCAGGACCAGAGTGTAGACGGGAACGGAGGACAGAGAACCGTGCAGAAGTCCAGGGAAGGGCTGCTGAGAGGCCCAAACCCTCAGGACACACAGGTGATGCAAACAGGATGGACCTCCCCGAGCTAAACCAGTAAGATTTACTGGTAAATACTGACACATTGGATAGGAAACGATGTAACTTTTCAAAAACTCAAGTTTGACAGGAAAATAGTACAGTCAAAACCACAAAGCGTGAGTTACATGGAAACAGTACATTTTGTTAACCCTAACATGTGGCATCTCTCAAAATTATTTTAGAAATACTTATCAAGGACAACTATAAAGAAGTTTTCATAAACTCAGTAAAGACATTTCAGTGGAAAAGAACACAGGTTACTCACTTGCAAACCCAAGCACTGACAAGAATTACTTCTTTTATTACTCCAATATATTTTTAGTTAGCTAAGGAAGAGTCGCATTTTCAAGTCGACAAGCATTTTTGAAATTAATAAAGGAAGGGTATTAGATAAAACACCATTTCAATAATATATCCACAATTTTATTACCCCCCAAAAATGGACATTTGGGAATAAAAGAAGCAACAGGGACTGTTGACCTCTAAAGTACAAAATAATCAAAGGTTAATAAAGGGCAGTCTCAACGGACCAGATAAAATATTAAGTGGCACTCACGGTTTATCTCTTTCACAGAATATCAACTTCAGTAGGAAGTTAAGGAGGAAAACATTACATTCACTGCACAGGCAATATGCTCCTTATCTCTTGTTAGAAAAATTCCACTTTTCCGATTTATAATGACCCTTAGAATAAATACAACTTCATTTATTTTAATTTTGCTCACCAGTTTGGAAGGCTGCTTTAACAATATTTGCCAAATGTTTTCGATTTTCTTAATGCCATAAAGGAACTAGTCTTAAATCCCACAATTTTAAGGATTTTACTACAAACAAATACAGCACGGTTATTTATTTGGAAAGAGGATCTTGAACTTGCTGCTTGTGGTCATCTGAACCATTTTTCTCCATTATAATGGCTGAAGTCATCGCTAATCTAATTGTGCACAAGGACCCTTTCCTACAACTATTTTATTAGGAGAGAAATTGGAAGGAAATTCCATACAGCCATCTCCCACGTTCAGGAATGGATGATCTGGTGTATGGGTTATTCATTATCCTCGATACCTACTAAGGCCATGCTCTGGCCTTTTCTGTTCTGTTTTCTGCTTTAAATTTATTTTAGGGGCCCCCGGGATTGAAGCCAGGGCCTCACACATGCTAGGTGTGTGCTCCACCACCAGGCTATATCCTCAGCCCCATCTCTGGCCATTTTTGAAGGTACTGGGAAGGGAAGGCACTAAAATTCAAATGAGTCAAACTGGGGTTGTTAGTAAATCTGGCTGATAAAGTCCAGAAGGACAGAATGAAGACATTGTTTCTAACAAAGCTCTGCATGTCAATTACCCTCTGGATCTTGGGACCTGCCAATACCGGGGTCATCAATCACGCCTCTCCCAGATAAAAGCAGAGCCTGGGAAACAACAAAATATGCTCTGCTCAATGAGAGAGCACCCCATTATTATTCCACCTCTTTTTGGTTTAGAGTGAACAAGAAAAGGAAAGCTCAGAACAAGTCATTAGTTTTCCCTGAGAACTTTCTACAATGCTAGTAAAGGAGTGCTCATTAAATACTGTTGAACAGCCAGAAGGCCAAGCAAAATATGAAAATGTTCCAGATAGAGGTCTTCTCCTTCACAGCATTCAGGTTACACTTTTCACAATGATCCTTCATTTTTTTTCTTTAATTCCTCTTCGGATGTCTTATGTGCGTCCCTAAGTATGAGTGCTATGAGTTCAGGGTCTGTGAGCTGTGTGTCTTTGTATTTGTCACAGAGTACTCAGGAAGAATTCCTCCAATCAATGCTCTTACAGTTCCATATGGAAAATGCATATTGTCTCATCTATGACTACACTCTTCCTTTTTACTACACAGCCATCTAAGGAAATAGCTCATGATTCACGGGCTTTAACACTTGGAAGACCTCTGATTTTTATGATTAAATTGAAATATTATCTGCTGTTGCACTGGGTCGTATCACACTTAAATATAAGCAATGATCACTGCTGTTATTCAGCGTAAACTTGCCTCCCTGAGTAAGAACTTTAATACAAGGGAGGCCTGAAGCTTGCACGGTAACAAAAGAGAAGTGTAAGTGCTTGCTGCGGACGGCTTTGAACGTGGACACAGCAGTACGTATCTTCTGCTAACATATTAAGCTCAGGAAAAGTAGTCTACTAGGAAGATGCATAATAGTCACTTCTCATCTTACAAAAAGAGTCTCCAAAGAAACTCCAGGCATTGCAATTTAATCCTTAGTTTCTTTAGAACAAATGACAACATCAATTGTGAATCTATAGTTTTGTTGTACTGACAGATATCCACAGCACAGACAGGGAAGGGGTGTAAAGGCACAGAGAGAGACAAGGGTAGGAAGGGAGGAAAACAGGATCTAAATAGATTAAGAAAATTATATATACATATATATATATAACCAATGTAATATGTATTACAAACATATACTAATAAAAAAAAGAATAACCACTTTAAAAATTTTATTGTACTGTTCCTGATAAGCAATCCAACATAGAAATTCACTCTAAAAAATTCTGGGGCAGGCATAGTGGCACATACCTATGAATCCTAGTACTCTGAGAGGATGAGGCAGGAAGATCACAGGTTCAAGCCCAGCCTGAGCAACTTAGCAACTTACAGAAACCTCTATCTCCAAATAAAAACTGTTAAAAGGACTGCAGATATGACTCCAGTGTGATGGGTTCCATCCCCAGTGCTGGGGGTGTGAGGGACCCTTCTGTTTTATAAAATGAACACAGATCCTATACAACAGGGACTCGGGTACTGATTGTGTAAGGCAGTATTCCCTGGAGACAGTGGTTAGGAATCAGATAAGTGGTTTGGCCCTGAAGCAGTTGCTGGTAAGTGGGAGGGCAGTCAGGAGGCTGCAGAGTGGGTCTTCTCCCAGACCAAACCCCACAAAAGTGCAAGGCTGACTTGTGGGACTCCGGTCACCCAGCTCTAGCTGACAGGCCTGAGGGCAGTATATGAATGGGAAGGGGGTGTCAATAGCTTGTATAAAATCAAAAAAAGTTCATGTAAGTTAGGGGAGGTAGAAGATACACTAAAAGGAAAGTGGATCTCACTGCATATGATGTAGGCTGCCAGATATAAAAGATGCTACACATTCCCATCAGGCCAGTTTGGTTTTGGTGCACATTCATTTACAACTAGACCCTAATATGACCACTGGGCATTAGCACTGATCAATGATCCCTACTAGAGTTTCAGCTTATTTACTGTCTCTAAGAAAACAAACCACCCTGCATCATTTAAAAGACTTTTCCTCTTTTAATCCACTAGTGTACACACATGTCACTTCTGCATTTGTCCAAAGGAAAGACACATGGAATAAAGACCAACTGAGATGCTATGGCAGAGGTAGCAGCCAATTTGCTTTTATAAGTCAAATGCGAAAACAGCATCTAACCTCGTAAATTCTGATACACAGGCAGCTTTTAAGGGTTCCCTCTAATTCCCTATGTCAAAGGATATTTATTCATACTCAATTATTTTGAAGAACCATATAAATTTACACACTCCGTTATGCCTTCATTTATCTTTGTGAGGCTACTGTAACCCCTATTACATGAAGGGACAAAGGGCACGATCTTTTGTATTGTTACATAAACAAGTCCTCCTTTCCCTTTACAAGTCGCCCCTGTTCTTTACAATGACTTCTTTATTTTCTACAAGTCAAGTGTACAGCACTTGCTTCATTTCCCAACTAAAAGTAACACACACACACAATTCAGGCTCTTTCCCTTTAATGTTCATTTAGAGGCACCGTCCACAATGAAAGTCTTCAAGGCGGTGGCTCCAGGTACGCAACCCTCCTCAGAAACTTGACAGCGGTTGATTTAAAGTAAAACGCATCCTCAGAAGCAACCTTCAGCACAGGCCAAAGGAATCAAAGCTACACCCTTTTGCAACCACAGCTCTACTGCATCCACCCTTCGAACATGTTCGCTTCAAACATGACAACCCGACCATTTACCAAAGCCACAGCTTATTCCTGATTTAGAAAAGTAAAGTTCATGGCCTTACTGAACTTACACAGCTCCACCCAGAAAGCACAAACACCGCCTCCACGCCTGGCAATTACGCAGCAGCTGAACTAAAAAAGCCATGCTTTTGAGCTCAGTAACCACTGCTGACCACCTTGCTGACATAACGAACAAGTGGCATCTTCACAAGAGTGCTAGCTGGGCCCTCCTGCTTCATATCTTAACAGCAGGCACGAACGGTTTACCACACATCACCCCTAAAAGGGGCTGCCCTTCAGTCCCCTTCTGGAAGTGCAGTTCCTGCCCCCAGCAGCACACACTTAGCTTAGCTGATTCTCTCACATCCCAGCAGTTGTGTTTTCCCAAAACTAGGGGAAGAACAGGTCTGAGAGATTCCCACAAGCTTTCTCTTGACACAGGAAGCATATGACAAACAGGGAAAACACAGCCCTGGGAAGGTCTGGCTCAGGCTCTTTGTAACACTCAAAGAGTGCTCCCCCCTGGGCTTTGGCACTGTGCTGAGTGGAGAAACCATTTTAGAGGTTAACAGTTCAGTGCCTACAGAGAACGCGCTAGGAGGAAGAATCAGAAATCCCAACTCTGAAAAACAAAGGCTGTTTAAAAATATTGAACTATTTCCCTCTCCCCAGCAGGACTGGCACCTTCCTTACCTTTGCGGGAGGCAGAGCATGCTAATCCCAAGAACAGAGATCAACCATGGTCTGAAAAGGGACTTGACAGAAATCCAAAAACTGTTGGTGGCCAAGCTATCAAAGGTAAAGGCCCCTGGTGTGTTCAGCGCCCTCCCAACACCTGTCTAATTCGAGCATTTACCTGACTCATTCACCTTCTTAGAAGAAAGATGCAAAAAGACTACCTATGATTCCAGAGTTTCTCCGTGCAGCTGCAGAAAAGAGCTCTGCTCTGTGTCCTAAACCCTGGCTGCGAGATCGAAGGTGCCCTCTGGGAAGGTGGTTTCTCACTGAACTTTAGTGACACGGGCTGGGGATTTAGTTCAGTGGCACAGCGCTTGCCTGGCAAGCACAAGGTCATGAGTTCGATTCCCGGTACCAGAAAAAACAAACAAACAAACAAAAACTGAACTTTAGTGACACAAGTCACTTGAGCACATGCCTCGGATGGCTGGCAAATAACAACTATCTTACCCTTCTCGGAAGGATACGATCACAAGCAAACGTCTAACGGAGAAGCATTTTTACTGTGGGCATGGCAAAGAATGAATGACACTGAATTCCAAGAGGAAAGGAAGCCAACAGGAAATGCTTAATGGAACAAACATTGTGACAGGAGCCCAGCGATATAAACAAAGAATTCCATATCACAAACTTTTTAAAGGTTTAATAAAAAAACAAAAAAAAAAAACACCAAGTCACCTTTGCGGGGCTGCGTCCTGTATATCCAGTTCTCCTCGTCCGCGTCCACCTGCTGCCCACACACCGACAGCTCTCCGTCACTACGGAACAGCCTCTTTGTCTGTCTAGACAAGGAGGAGAAATTTATCCAACTCACAGCGCGCGAGAGGGAACCCGCATTGGCCTTGAGTCTGAAGGAACCAGAAGAGCCTTCCTTTTTCATCTTCTTTCCCATCAAAATCCGCTAGAGACAAAGGGCAGCCCCACAGACAGACAAAAAGCTCTGGTTCTGAAATCGGCCCGGGTCCTCGGGAGGAGCCCGCTCCTTCCCACTTATTCAGACAACGTGGAGAGTCAGGCACTGCATCGTGCAAAAGGTTGCTTTTCCCGGTGTCACTGGATGAGAAGGAAGAGAACTGAGGGATGGGGAAATTTTCTTTAAAATGTTTTACCCTTGCCACATGCTGGTACTCAGTTTCTATGTCAGGGACATCCACAGCCAAAAAATAGCAAATAAAAATAAATATAGTTTTACAAACGGAGCATGGTGTTCGTTTCAGGCACACTTGTCAGGACTTTGTGACGAACAGAAGCGAGGCACTCGGGCTCTTTGGTGTGTCCCTGCCATCTCAAACTGTAATCCTACGCCTCTCCCGGGCATCTTTCCCCACAGGGGCAGGCAGCCAGCCAGCCTTCTCGGTGCAGAGGGAGGTGACTCCTCGCCCTGGAGATAAAGAACCAGCATCAAGCAGACCCCCAGTTTAAAGTTCACCCACACAGGTTACTCAGGAGAAATCAAAGGGTTCAGCTCACTTGTCCCGGCAGAGCGCAGGATCGTAAACCGCCCACTTGCCCTCTTTCCCGGCTGGGAAGCAAGCTCTCGGAGCCGCAGGACTCCACAAACAATAAAACAGGCTGCGTGGCTATTGCTTGGATTACAGAGTGAGCGCTGGCTGGAAGGCGATTGGCTCGCCCGCCGCCAAAGGCTCCTCATTGGACACAGGGAGCCCCGCCTCGCCACAGCCAATTCTTTAGTGCAGCTCAAACTTCTGAACTCTAGCAAGACGGTGGAAATGCAAGTCTGTGCAGAATACAGACGTCTGGGGATTTTTTTTTAAAGAGTGTGATTATTAATTATCAGACTAGACTTCTGAAAGTGCGACTCTAAGAGCGGGTTTCCACGCAGTATATACAGACAACGTCAGGCATTCCTAAGTGGATTTTGGGAGGGCGTCGCCTCAGGAGTAGACTTCCCAAGAGAATAAAAATGACCTGGCTCTTCCTTCACTCTCTGCTTTCAGCATAGGTGAAAGGCAGCCATGCGTGCACCTGCTGTCACCTGCTCTGCCTGCCGCCACCAGCCACTCAGTCCCGGGGGTTTCTTCCTCTCCAGCTGTGAAGGATCAGTCCTAGGAGGGAGCTCACCACCGGAGAGCCACGCACGCTGAGCACCATTAGGTGAAACACCCAGCCCCAGCCTCCTATGTAAGATATCCTGGCGCCCTATCTTGTGTGCTTTTGGGGGCAGCATTTCCCCCAAGGCCCACACCTGGGGGTGTTAAAAGTCCCTGAAACTGTCCATCGTAGAGACTTGAGTCCACACCTTCTTCCCAAAGGGCAACTTGGAGTAAGGCACGTAGAGAACCGGGTGCTTTACACCTTGATTTGCTTGGCATCAATTATATCCAAACTAATAAAGTCAACTGAGTGTACACTTTGACTACAAGTTACAAAGGCACCACCAATGCTGCAAACCAGTTAGGGGGTTTTCAGGACCACTCGACACAAACACAGCACCCCTGCTCTAAGAACCCACGGACCCCGAACCACGCACACACGATGCTCTCCTCCCTTCTGCCCACCTCCTGCAGCAGTGTTGTAAACTGACAGCGCTCTGAGACTTGTGAAAAGCCCTGGGCTGCTCTCCCTAAGTCCAGGCATGAGTGAGCGCTTTTCTCAAGCCACCCGCTTTGGTGGGTGCACAGACACAGGGGTGCTGTGTCCCCAGTTCCCAGTGTGTCTCGACGGTAAACTCCCCCACCGCGCCCATGCCTGGGGAGAGGGTCCGAGGGGCTGAGGGGAAATTCACTGCCATGCAAGCAAGGATGATAACCGGTTCATTTAGACACGAGACTAGTAAGTTGGACCTGTTTATCTATTACTATTATCTATTTTTTAAAAACTATCGCTGAAGTTATTTGAAAAAAATCAGTTAAACCCCAAAAAGTAGCCAAACTCTCGGTTTCTGAAATTCTGCTCCGTGAATCACAAGATGGTCGTGGGACGTTTGCACAAGGCTGCTACTGCTTCTAGCCCACATTTCTGTTATGCTGGGTCTTGGTTACTGACTCTTCATTCATGTACAAGAAAGTCAACTATATCAAGCACTTTCCTAACCGGATTAGGATTTGGCAACTGGGACAAGAGAGGCTACAATGGTTTAAATCAGCTTTGGAGGAAATATTTAGACTCTCGGGACCCGTGTTAGATACAGACTTCTCTTAGCTTAGCAGATCCTAACTGCGGAGTTATCACCTTTATTCAAGCACTGTTCTAATAACTGATGAGCTGCACACTTTAGATCTCAGACAGTCAATGCGGGGGCCACACAAGCCCGGCCTCCAGCAGCAGAACCATAGGCGCAGTGTACCGTGTACCACGCCCTTCATGAGAGGTATTGCCAATTTGCACAATACTCTGGCCATGGACTATCCCTACTTTGAGGGGATAATTGCTGTTTTCAAATAACTTCAGCTATAACTTACAAAAGAACAAAACAACTTAAGGTAACTAGTTATAACTTACAAAAGAACCAAACAATGTAGCCAACTTACTGTTACTTAATGTAACTTAATGGTTAACTTAATGTAACCATTAATGTAAAAAGGTAACCATTTTTCCTATGAAAATCCACCACAGTAGAACACACGACTCTCTTACACAGACATGCTGAACAGATTTCCATCCGTGTACCTCCCCGTGCTGGCCGCCCCCATCTCCCCTCTGCCACCAAGCTGTCACACTCAAACTTCTGCCACCGTCACATGTGCCAATAACTGCCTCTTCCCACTTTGCACTGCCCAGCTTGGGTCCGGGAAGTCAGATAAACAAGTCTGCTTAAATGATATGCTTAGTGGGAGTCCACAGCGGCCCAGAGAATGAAATGCATTGCTTCAGAAGAAGAGTTTTGTCACAGCGCCTCCTGGCCGGTACCCTTGTCCTCTACTTGTGTGACAGAAGCCTAAGGGTTGACATAGCTGGAAAATGACCACTCTGATGGATTTAGACCAAGCTGACAGTTGACGATCTCTTTCATATTCAGTTCTTGGCATTTCAGGGTCACCAACTCCTTACTACTGATGAGAGAAGAAATTATAGTATTTCAGGAATAATTTAAGTAATACATTTTTAAACACTACCTATAAAAACAACGAGTGTATGTTACCAGAGAAAGCTCTAGAATCACCTTCCTGGCTCAAATATCCACCAATTTGGAAAGATTTATTTATGTTCCTATGAAGAGTCAAAGGGATACACTGGGTAAGTTTGGCAGGCACTTGCCAAAAGAAACAATATTTCATACTTCATATATGACCAGCATCCCTCAGAAGTAACGTAGCAAAAATGAAAGTTTTGGTTTCATAAACACCGTTCACTGCGGCAGGATATAGGATTAGACGCACACCCCCCAACCCATCAGGCGTGTCATTGTGCTTCTTGCCATCTGTGTCAAATGCCAGCCAAGAGCAGCTCATTTCAAGTGCCATTGGGTTTGGACCTCAAAGGCCTGACATGAGCACTGCGACCTTTCATTTCCATGGGAGCCTCGTCTGCCCTCTCAAACCTAAGAGAAAGAAGGAGCAAGGCTGAGCCCTGACGTTGGGAGGTAACAGAGAGCAGCGCGGGGTGGAGGGAGTTGGGCTTGTAAGGCTTCTGAACATGACGACGGTGGGGAACCAACCCCATGCGGCAGCGAGGGTAGCCACTGCCTGCGTACACTGTGTCTGGGTCTGCAGCAGCCCCTCAGTGTAGGGAGCAGGGCTGGGAGCCCCTTACAAACTCCCCTGGATCTCCCTGACAACCCTCAGGGACCTCTGCCTCCCGGGACAGCATACAGTAGGTTTCCCAACTGCCACCTCCTGTGAATAATTTAAGCATCTGTGTAGAGGAGTTGTAAGCGCTAATAATGAAAGCTTACCTCTGCATCTAAAAGGAAGCAGTTTGAGGGCGGGGGATATAGCGCAGTGGCACAAGCACCTGCCTGGCAAGTGTGAGGTCGTGAGTTTGACTCCTGGGACCAAAAAAAAAAAAAATTTACAAAAAAAGGAAGCGGTTTGTGCCAGGTATTTATACCCATAAATAAAAGGCCACAAATAAAAAAACCATACTAGCTCCAGGATCACAGAACACTAAAGCCTCCTTCCTTTATCCAGCTTCCCCTCCCCTGAAAATTCAACAACGCTTGCACTGGAGAAAGAGGCCCTGGAAGACATAACACAGCTATTTGCCCCTTGCAGCTGCTCCTATGTTTAGGTTGCCCTCCCCTGCCTGCCAGTTCATAAAGCCTAGCACCTTTCCACCATCGAGGGGAGCTGTCCCCCTCCGAGCCTACGCCCCCTTCCAGCACCCTCGCAGCAGACGAAGCCCACGCCAGATCTGGCCCAGCTCCCATGTGCTCACTGATACCGGAGCTGTGTGGAGGCTCCTGCCTGCCCTGGGTCCCCAGTGGAGTGTACTGCTGTGGCTGTGGCCAGCCAGGGACTGGAAGAGGCTTGGACGATGGTCCTAACCAAGGAGACAGCTCCGTACCAAGCTTCTCCACGAAAGCATCACAGTCTGAGAGGGACAGGTGAGGCTTCCTGGCTCTTCTGATAGATGAAGACCAAGGACAAAACGTGTTCTGAGACCAAAATAAAATTCCAAATCAATGCATTTAAGAAAATAACGACGTCCCTGGTTCTTGGACCTTCCCCGTGGTCTCTCCAGTGATCACTCTAGTCATTCATTTTTCTACCTCCTCAATCTGTTTGCAGCAACTTATTAGCACATAGATCACAGGAGATCTTACCGCAGTGCAGCACAGAGTCTGACTCCAGGTTGGGGAAGGTCTTGAAATTCTGAACCCCAAAGAGCACCCACGGCTGGTTGTGGTGGGGCCTTCTGAAGCCCAAGCACCAGAGAGGCTGAGGCAGGAGGGCTACGACCCAACTTCAAGGCCGACCTGGGCTACACAGCAAGACCCTGTCTCAAAAACAAAACACCACAGAGATGACGCCCTCGCAGGGACCACTAAATTTAGCGAGCGCAGGACTAGACTATAATGGCCTCTGAGGGCAGGGCGCTCACCCTTTAACCAGCAGCGAACGATGGAATCACCCATTCGTTCCATTCATTCCCATATTACCCTTTTCTTTTGATCTTATGTTTCCAGTTAAGGCGATAAGCAGACCTTGATCGTGATCATTCCTTTATCCCTAAATCCCAAAAAGTAAAATGTAAGCCGGCGACAAGAACATCCTCTGAGTTAAAAGGATTACGGCAGGTACTGCGCTTTCCTTCACTCGTTAGGACATCCGCATCGCTCTCATCGGCCGGCCGACACCCCCAGTGAGCGAAGTCAGGAGAGCGGCCCGCGTTCCCCTCCGCCAACAGCACAGACGGGGGAGCAGGCAGTGCCCTGGGTCCCACCAGAGAGGTTAACTGCTCCTTGGCAGTGGAAAGTTGTTTCCATCAGTTGTGTTCAGTGGTAGACGGTTAGGACAAAGAGGTTTTCAGTCACGTGACCTCCCACATCCTTTATTCAGCTACTTGGCTTTCACTTTGAGGCTCCACCCACCTGGGTCCACAGAGCACACGGGACGTATCTTCCTAAACCAATGTTCCAAAACAAAACCAGATGTTCTCACCA